GCCTCTCCCCCTCTCTCCCTATTTATTTCAAAACCTCCTTCCCCTCCCCCGTTTCTGAAGAAGGGTCTAGGCTCGAAACGTCAGCCTTCCTGCTCCTCTGATGCTGCTTGGCCTGCTGTGTTCATCCAGCTCTACACCTTGTTATCTCAGATTCTCCAGCATCTGCAGTTCCTACTATCTCTGTTTATGAAAGCAATCCTGATTGGACATGTTGGGTTGGGCAGCACAATTTCAAGCTTTAGGTGGCCAGCAGAATGGATGAACGAAACTTTTCTTCCCACAGAAGTCACTTACAAATTTGAAATCTATCCTCTTTTGAGCAGCCCTCAATAGGCCCTTTAAACATCACAGCAAGTCATTCAGCCCCTATGACTAAAGAACGAAGATTACTAATTGACTGTGTGCACTATGCAGTGAAAATGGCAGTAGGATCCCTATAACCAGCATCAAATCCAATTAAATTAGGCTTTTGCTTATTTCGAGCAGGCCAGCTTCCATTTGTTTCAAATGTGACGGTTTATGTATCCGTTACAGTGCTGTACTCAAATTCCATTTGAAATGGAGTTCTGAAGACTTTGGTTGGCCAGTAGGAAAGAAATGTTTATAAAAACACTCTGTGCTGGTCGCCCCAAATTTATAGGGTGGTTAGGAGATGAAAGTGGTCTCCAACAAAGCTGATGGAATGAGAAGCATTAGCAGTGGGTTCCAAAGTTATCTACTACAGTGGACTGAAATTAGAAAACATTTAGAGTTCAATTTCTGGGTCAGCAAATCTCACCAGGAATCCATGATGACTTAGGCTAAGTAATTAGTTTGAACAATTTAGTGAAAGACATTCAAATTCCACACTGCTTCAATAGTTCCTCGGTGAACTAAAAGACAGAAAGCATTTCTTGCTGGCCAACAAAGATAATGTAACTTGCCTCTATCAGGTTTCCACCATAACTGACAACTATGAGGTTTATGACCGAAACAACGAAGTTGATTATTCTGCTCTGTACTTAGTGTGGAATAGCTGTGATAGGAAACCCATCAAGTATGAGATGGAGTCATATTCTGTCACTGGCGAATACAGAGAGCTTGATTTTAACGGGGTCGTTGGGAGGGGTGCATGTGGTAGCGGCATCTGAAAGCTAATTTGCTCTTTGCAAATCTGTTTTGTAACCAAAACACACTGTGGAACAGCTAACATTAGCTGAGAGTGGGAATTCTATCCCTCTCCTGCCAACCAAAATTAACTCCCAGTAGCACCTACTGCAGGAAGTGACCCAAAGGTCATGGGAAGGTTAAGTCCTGAGGTTTTAGGGCAGGAAGGGAGCCTGGGGAGGGCCGGAGGAACAAGTGCTGTTGGGCAGCCAGCAAGTGTGCATAGCACAACCTTTGAATGAATTGCCTTCATCCACCGCCTCTGTTCATGCATGCTTGCCCCCTCCATCCAGCTGCCAATGCTGGCCAATACTATAGTATGGGCAGTATACTGTTGGTCAATATTCCTGTTAACAGACACAAATGGCCCTTAGTTATTTAAATAATTGGACACGCAACTTGTTTTGGCACACACACCCATTTGGCAAATTATGGGATGATGCCTAGGGTGAGTGTCAGGAGGTGGGCTAAGTGGCCAGTCTATATTTAAGTGTACCCCCACCCCACCAAAATCACATCCAATGGAGTCACATAAAACCTAGCCTAGAGATAGTGATGAAATGCAAGATACAGCAATATTAAACCACCCTTCCACAAAATACATTTTTCCTTCAATATTCAAGATGAATGTGCCACTTCTAAGTAACAGTGATACTCACATGGTCTCCAGCTTATGATCTGGTGGGCCTCGTAACATTCTGCTTTCCTTGTAATGCTTTAACGCTTGCTGTGCCAGTGTTTCTGAGAACTCAGGATCCTCCCAGTTCTGTCCTGGAACCATGAAAGTCAATGGAGGCGAATCAAAGATCTGGACAGTGACTGTGGTACTGGGATCTTTGGATGGACTCTCGTTCGGGGATCTTGACATTATCTGGAAGAAGGGGGAGAAATGATACACGTCAGTTCCACTGTGTTGGAGCAAAGAGAATTGAAAAAGCTCAATTCAAAAATTTCTGTCTTATTTTGTCCATCCATTGATTTCTGTTTGCTGCCATGTGCCAACTACTGGTGTAATATCAGGCAGTGTATTTCCTTAACTTCAAAGGAAGAGGGAATTAAAATGTTTGTGCCATAAAAATTACGGCGTCGGGGCCATTTGTGCAGGGTGGGTGAAGCACCTTAAGGTTGCTACAGGTGGCAGGTGCCAACTTAAGTGCCAGAAGGTGGCCTCCTTTAAGGTCCAGTGTTCTAGTCAAGGCCTGAACACCCTCTCTGCCTGGGTGCAGAAGCAGTTATGACTGCCCTATAAAAGTATGTTGGCCTGGCTGCAGGATTCAGTTTAGAGAGTTACCCTCTACTGCAGGTTCCCGCTTGTTTTAAAGTTGGAAAGTCTCTAATTGGCTTGCCAGCTTTGACAGGCCAACAAACCAGCCAGTCTCCAGGCCAATTAAAGAGGCACCAAACGCCCCCAAATATAAATAGATATTATAATGAGTGACTATTTCTCCTGCAGGCAGGTTTAGGCAGGGGGCCTAGAAACAGCTGTCACCCATTTCCCACTCTCCAGCTAAAGTTCTGCTCCAAGACAGTAACCAACAGAGTTTTTGAACATACCTAACTACAGGTTCCAAAAAAGAAATGAATGCAGCAAGAAAGAAAGGAAGAGTACAATGGGCAGGGCAAAATACCTATTGTGGAAAGGACTGTTTCAGGTAGATTGAAGGAAGATTATTTCTCGTGTACAGATCAAGTTTCAAGTACATTATCATATTTGCAAACCAAAGCAGCGCACAGTTTTAGGCATGTTGTTGCTACAGTTTTAATCATTATGTCAATTTTGAACTAGATGACATAGTCAGGAGGAGAAGATAATTATTTGCATTCACATGCATTTGCAAAGAAAGAAGAATCTGAAAAAACATCAGTATTTGGTTATTCCCACTGCACTATTTTAAATAAGATGCAAATCAATTCCCAATATGTAACCATGTTAACATACAGGAATTGTATTTCTGAAGAGGCTGGGAAATATAGTGCACGCTCAGTGCAGGCATAAAACTGAAGCACAAATGGGATTGATTTAAGATCAATGTAGGGTTGGAGGGTTTGAGCTATAGGGAGAGGCTGAATAGGCTGGGGCTATTTTCCCTGGAGCGTTGGAGGCTGAGGGGTAATCTTAGAGGTTTATAAAATCATGAGGGGCATGGATGGGGTAAATCTACAAGGTCTTTTCCCTGGGATGGGGAGTCCAAAACTAGAGGGGCATAGGTTTAAGGCGAGATGGGAGCGATTCAAAAGGGACCTAAGGAGCAACTTTTTCACGCAGAGGGTGGTGTGTGTACGGAATGAGCTGCCAGAGGAAGTGGTCGAGGCTGGTACAATTACAACATTTAAAAGGCATCAGCATGGGTACATAAATAGGAAGGGTTTAGCAGGATGTGGGCCAAATGCTGGCAAATGGGACTAAATTTGTCTAGGATATCTGGTCGGCATGGACGAGTTGGACCGAAGGGTCTGTTTCTGTGCTGTATATCTCTATGGCTCAATGTTCCCCTACCCCAATGAATCATTGAACAAATGCCCCACCTGGTAGGTAGAGAGCCTTAAATAAAGGAAAGTACTAAATAGCAAAGAATGCTAGATCAAGATGATTTCCACATCACAGTCTTTAGGAAGCACAAACTCAGGGTTGACAGGTTGCACATAACCTGCAAATTACAGTCAAGTTGTTCAGGGCCAAAGGAAACTCTTCCTTATTAAAATAGCACTGGAAATCAGAAACAATTGATCCAAATAAGTTATCAAAAATAAAAGTAAAATCTAATATTGTTACATAATGGTATTAAGAGATAAACAATAACTAAAGTCTTTAAAAACAAAAAGGCAACAAATATAACAAGAGAATGGAGAAGTGAATAATTCAGACAGTATTTGGCAAAGTCAGTTGACTTTTGGGCAGTTGTTAGGGATGGTCTTCTGGGCTACTGTAAAAGTTTACAAATGGAAGTGCAGGCCATTGCAAGGAAACAGAAGAGAAGAATGTTCTAACTCAGAACTTTTAATTACCTAATTAGCATTTCTTATCTATTTTAAAATTCAATATTATTTAATGATTTCTAGTGAATGAGTGAAGTAAGGGCTTCGGTTGGAAGGTAGATGAAGTGAGCAAAGGTGGGGTATCTGGAGTCAGGGTAATTGGGTGGTGGGTGGAAGAGGAGCTGGTGGTCACCAGGTCCAGTTGGTCAGTTGGGAATGGGAAGGTCAGTGGTCAGTGTGGGGCATGGAGGAGCATTCAGTTTAGTGTGATTTCTGGCTATCGATTAAGTTTGAATTTCTCTACTTTTTTCCTGGGTACTATTAAGCCAATTTAGTTGGAACCAATCTGAAGTCACTAACTCAAATGCAAGAGGGACCTTCTGAGGGGATTCCAGAGACAGTGTTTGCCCATTGGAAGTTTCAACTGCCTGGTAATGGTGTTGAATGTCAATAAGTGGTGGGCAGACTTCCTCTTGTTGGAGATGATCATTGTTTTCACTTACGTGGCATGATTGTTATTTGCCACTTATTAACCCAAGCTGGATGTTGTTCAGGGTTTGATGCGTGTGAATGTGGATAACTTCATTATCAGTGAACAGCCTCTAATTGTGTAATAGGGGGCAATTCATTAACAAAGCAGAGCAAGATGGTTGGGCTCTGGATTGTATCTCATATGGCTCTTAGCCAGTTGATGGTTCTTCAGACCACATTTTGTTCCTGCATTTGGAGATCAGTAAAACTATACTTTTGTTAAAAACATGCTGCTCTTTTGTTTGCAGGTGTTCTTCAAACTCACAGCTTTCACATGATAAGATCCATCAGGACTCTGTGTATAATTTGCCAGTTTAGACACCCATCCAAACTGTTTGTTCAGTGTCTCTAACTCCTTGGTGCTATTTTCCATCTTCTGCTGAAATTCTTTCATTAGATTATCATATTTCTTTGTAAAATGCTCTGCCATTGACAGAGCCTCTTCAAATGCCTTTCGCAAGGGTTTGTGATCCACATCAAAACACTCTGAAACACAAAAGAGGAGAAAAACAAATGAGTCATAGAAAAATCCCAGTCATTAAAATAACGTCATACTGCTTATTATTAATAAATGGGTGACCGTTCACAATTCTACTTTAATAGCCAATTTACAAACTGGCAGTGTGTTAGCAGGTGAAGAAACTTTCTGAATACAAGGCCAAAAATAAAGTCTCCTTCTACAATGAGCAACTTTAAAGTTTGTTATTCCATGGTGTGAATTATCTTTCAAATAAATTTTAAATAATTTCATGCTTTCTAATTACAGGAGCTTTGAAATAGGACGGGTTAGAACTGCCCCTGCAGTTGTTAAAACGTTTTATTTAGTGAAATGGAAGAGAATCATAATTTGTAGGAGAAATTTATATTAACTTATTTTTCTACTTATGTCATTTCTCCTGGTTTGGAATCAATTCATTTTTATCCTTTTCTTTGAAACCTCCTTTTCTTCTTAATTATTTAACTGTCACTATGGCCCTATATTCTCTTTTCCAGATCATGCCTAACCAATATCACCTTAAATACATTTGTGCTATTCAATTCAACTGCCTAAAAATGTTTTAAGCATTCTAGTTTTCATTCTTCATTTACCTTCTAACATATTACTTTAGTTTATTCACTTATGTGAAAAGAAGTTATACCTTAGAGTGGGAATGAATTGTTCATAATAGATTTACCAATTTAAAACCTTTTGGTGCGGCTCTTTTCATGTTGGGGCCTTTAAATTTCTATATTGGCAAATTTAGCAGGCAATTTGCACATGGTAAGATTCGATCAATAGCAAAAATGTACAGTTAATCCATGTTTGTTAATGGATAAGTGCCAGCTAAACCACTGAGATCCCCTGTCCTTCTTTGAAGCATCTTTTAACGTGCACACGAGATAAAGTTTTCAGTGATTCAACCAAAAGACAATACCTCAACAATACAGCAGTACATCATGGTAATTTGTAAGGGACAGAGAATTCTGGGAAGTGTCTTAAATGAATTTATGATAAATTGATCATTGCATGCAAGTCCCACCTAATGGTATAGAGCCTTGGTCAGTTATGTCCATTTACACTAAACTTCCTGAATTTCACTCTTCAGTTTTTTTTAAAAAATGTTCTTTCATGGAATGTGGCTATTGTTCACTAGTTTTTACTCAACCCATCTACTGTACAGTACATAGGGTCATATTTAACATCAGACTTAAAGTTGAATTATCACAAAACATGCTCAAAATTACACTGAAACAATATCTAGCTGAATGTAGGATAACTAGCTATGAAGCAGTAATTCAGTCTGGCTTGCAGCTATTATTCTAGAAATAAATTTCTCTTTAGTGTGGAGTTGAACTATTCATTGTGAGGCATGGTCTCCTGGACTGACATAGAAAAAGGTCCAAGATGTGGTGCATAATTACCACCACACATCACAACTTCTGACTCAGACATTTGAAAATTTTGAAATATAGTTATTTTTAGGTTTTTCAGTTTATCAGATATCTTCAGTTCTCAAATTGTTGTCTTTCCTTCCCCAACTTAAAATGGATGGACATGCCTAATTGCTTGGAATTCAAAACACACCCATTACACAGACAGAAACAGACAAGGAGGAACTGTCAATAATTTAGCAGTTATATAATTTTGGTCTAAGCAATTATCTTTTCCTTCATCTCCACCTAATGTGCAAACCACCATCCTGGCAATTTCTTTGTACTTCTTAACTAATATTTAATTTAATATAATACAAAAAGGAAGTTAAATAGAAAAGGAAAAAAGATATATTATTTGGCCACAGATAATAACAAAATAGTTTGTTTTAATGATTCTGACAGTGATGAGGGATAAATAATAGTCAGTAAACAAAGGAAGTTTCCTTGGTTGTCATCAAAATAATGCCATGGGATTTCCTACATCCACAAAGGCAATGCATAACTTGCTCCATAACGCAATGAAGTCTGGTTAACACACTCTAAGTCAGAAGTCTAGAGACTTGAGCTTAGGGTATGCCACTAAGCAAAAGCTACTGTTAACATCACAGGTTTTTAAATTCCTGGAAACTTCTCAAAGATAACAAAACAAACTATCTCAACCACAAGTACAAATTTAAATCGTATATATACAAAGCTAACAACATTCTTTTCTCATTTTCTTTAATGATTTAATCATTTGAATACTTTAAATTACCTAAGGACATAAGTTCTTTGCATTTTTCACACTTATCGGAAAGTTTCATGCAACCAGAAGAGTTGCGACGTATTTCACGGCAGATGTACTGATCTCGTCCCTCTGCATTTGTTGAATTTTGCACATCTTTTAATAAGAATCAAATAAGAGAGAACAAAAGTTTAATGGGCATGAGAATAAAAATCTGAGTTTACAGAATGCATAGGGTCATACAACACAGAAACAGACCCTTTGGTTTAACCAGTCCATGCTGACAATAATCCCAGACTAAACCAGCAACACCTGCCTGCACCTGGCCCATAAATCTCTAAACATTTCTTATTCATCTACTCGTCCAAATGTATTTTAAAAGTTGTAACTGTACCTTCATCCACCACTTCCTCTGGCAGTTCATTCCGCTCACAAACCACTGCATAAAAACATTTGCTCCTCATGTCTTCTTTAAAAACCTTTCTCCTCGCATCTCAAACATGTAGTTCCCAGTCTTTAAATCACTCACCACAGGGAAAATAAACCTGCCATTCACCTTATTATAACCCTCATGATTTTAAAAAGTAAGGTCATGGTTCAACCTCCGACGCTCCAGTTTAAAACGTCCCAGCTTATCCAGCCTCTCCCTATAACTCAAACCTTCCATTCCTAGCAACAGAGATAGTAGGAACTGCAGATACTGGAGAATCTGAGATAACAAGGTGTAGAGCTGGATGAACACAGCAGGCCAACCAGCATCAGAGGAGCAGGAAAGCTGACGTTTCGGGCCTAGACCCTTTCTGAAGAAGGGTCTAGGC